AAAAAAAAAAAAAAAAAAAAAAAAAAAAAAAAAAAAAAAACGTTTAAACCCCCAACCCCAGAGTCTTTGTTGACAAACACCTGCAGTACAGCCGCAGGTGTCCGGACTCGTCCCTCCCACTTGTGCATAGATCATGATCCTTTTTAAAACCAACGTCAGTCCTCCACTTCCACCAGCCTTTAAAAACCACCTTTTAGGAACTATATCAGCCACTGAAGACCTGTCACAGCAACACAAGTTGTACGAAYGACAGGCGAGGTGATTCATAATGATTCAACAAATGTTAAAGGTCTTGCACAATAAATCCTGAACTACAGGATGCAAACTCAAAAGAGGTCAAAARGTAAGAAAAAAATGTGTTTTTTGTCAATCACTGTTTCAATGTAAAGCAATTTCTACTTAAATTTTTTTTTACACATAAAGCGCTCCACTTTTCTCAAAATTGATTCTCAGTCTTATTTGGCAAACTATTTTTTTTCTTTTAACAAAATTGAGTTTTCTATATTCCTCTAACTTCAGTGATTGCTTGGAGTTGAATAGTTTTCAGTTTCTTTCTGTATTTTTTTCTTCTAATTTTCTAAACTAACATTAAACCTAAAAAGTGATGAGGTCGGTATCTGGAACCCTGGCCTTCCTGAGACATAATCCACATTTTTTTTAAATGAGTGTGCAAGATAGAGAGCAAACTGTGTCAAAGTCTTACAGGAAAACATCAAATCACAACTTAATACACATAGAAAGATAGTCACTGAAAAGAGTGAAAAAAAACAAACATTTTAAATATGACAACACTGATCAATCCCAGAGTTCTGAAAGTAGCATAAATCTTCATTTTGCAAGATTTGACAAGTCCATAGCTGATGGAAGATGAAATTTGTCCTTTTTGAAACATTCTTGTTTCAAAGTCCTGTTTTGTTGAGCTTCAGACAAATGAAATGCTTGTAAACAACAGGTGGCTTTTGCAAAAACCAAAGACAGAAAAAAGATAGGCACCTCTGAAATGAGTCGTAACAAACTCACCTCCTCACACTTCATCCCTTCCCACTTCTCCTTGTTAACGTCGGGATTACTAGTCCTTCTACAGCTATCTATGGCCACAGTTCATTGTTTTTTTTATCCCTTTTTTTAGTTTTGTATTTTTTTTGTTTACTTTTTTCTTTATTATTATTATTTTTTTGCTACATTTTTCCTTTAGTTGAAACAAAAAAAATGGTGCAATACTCCATGATAATCCTTGTCCTGGATTATTCCACAATAAAAGCCACTATAAGGTAGATAAACTTTTTACAGACAAAAACGGGTGAAGGGGGAGGGAAGAAAAAAAAAAGTCCTTGAGTAAACATGTACACGTGAATTGTCACCGTCGCCCCTTCACACTTTTACCTAGGATTAGCTGAGTAAGGAGCAGAAGACACTCAGTGCAATGTTAGAAGATAACGTCTATCAGGTTCTGACATAAAAACAGAGGAATTCAAACACAAACAAACAAAAACACACACAGATTGGAACATAACAGCAGGCCATGTGCCCTGTACACAGTTTCTCGAGCACACATTCATACAAACATCTGAGCTCCAAGCACACATCTGAGATGATTTTTCTTTTCATTTTAGATTTAATGCAATACATATCTGATATTCTCTTAAAAAAAAGAAAAAGCCCACATGTGTACCTGTCAGATGAACAGAGGGGAAAAATTAAAAACTAACTTCACATTATGGTATCGGCGCTCCATGATTCAAGTATTTTGTTAAATAATTTTTTTCTCGTTTTGATATGTCTGTGATTTGGGTAAAATCTGCATYACACCAGGTGCTTCAGGTTGGGCTTCTCTTTTTTTTTATTTCTTCTTCTCTCATCTCATTTTAAACAGGCTAATCAACAAACAAATACACGCATATACAGTACACTAAAGTACTGCAATATGCCTTCAGACCCAGAACGTGCATATCTCTCTCTGTATAAGAGTCGTAGCTTTCAATCAATCAAGTATCAGTTCACACCCGACCCAAATCTCTTTCCTTTGTATCACTTATTTGCAGGGGGGGRAAAAAAACATATTGCTTCTTTTGTCGGCTGTGTTAAACCAGGATCTTTAAAAGGAAACAACTTAAAAKTTTCAGAGGTTACGATCCAAGAAGTCTGAAGAGGTGATACCACATGGTACTCACAGTATATCACGTACACACTCACGCCTGTGTGTGTGTACTGTGAATACACATCTACTGGTATCTAGAACAGAGCTGTAGAGAGGAGAGCCTCTCGATGCTGGTGCAGCATGGGAAACCCCCTTCGCTGTCAGGGTTCTCCAGTTAGTTCAGGATACTGGGAGGTCCTCGGCTATTGGGTCTGTCTGAGCTCGGATCAAGGCAGTTACAGAAACAGGCAATAGTGATTTTTGCTTGTGTGCTGCAGGACTCTAAGCCCTGAAAGGTAGCCTTTTCCCATTTCCTTTTTTTTTTTTACTTTTTAATTTTTTTTAAGACTTTGTACCTCTTGAAATGTGCCTCTCTCCCTGCTGCTGCAGAATGAGAGAGTGAGGCTGATACAGAGGGCCCAAAGCCTTCTGGGTGTGTGGAAATGTACAGTTCAGTGG